CCAAATAACAGTTACCACATTAGTGGATAAAAAAGAATGGGATGTGTCATATTTGGAGCAGCCGTCAGGGGGAAAAGGCATGCACAACGTGTGGAGAAATTTGATGGAGGCAAAGAAATACGTTAAAGGAGATAAAGCTTCAGGGGTGGAAAGCAGAATGACTCAACCCATTCAGGAGACAGTGGTGTGAAAACTGCATTGTCTTGAAAAGTAGGACCTTTGCCTGGGGCATGATGCCCATCAACAACAGCTGAACAGCTCCACTCTTGGCATATGGGGATTTCTGAAACTGACTTTGTGTGTGGAACCATGTGTTCATAAAAGTAGTTTTTGATGAAGCTTCTTTATTTTTTTTCTTTTAAAAATATTTATCTAAATTCAAGTTAGTTAATATACAGTGTAGTATTCGTTTCAGGAGTAGAATTCAGCAATTCATCACTGACATATAACACCCAGTGCTCATCCCAGCAAGTGCCCTCCTTAATGTCCGTCGCCAATTTAACCCATTTCCCCACCCAGCACCCGCCAGCAATCCTCAGTCTGTTTTCTGTATTTAAGAGTGTCTTATGGTTTGCCCCTCTCAGTTTTTATCTTATTTTTGCTTCCCTACCCCTATGTTCATCTGTTTTGTTTCTTAAATTCCACATATGAGTGAAATCATATGATATTTGTCTTTCTCTGCCTGACTTATTTTGCTTAGCATGATACCCTCTAGTTCCAACCATGTGGTTGCAAATGGCAAGATTTCATTCTTTTTGATCACTGAGTAATATTCTAGTGTGTGTGTGTGTGTGTGTGTGTGTGTGTGTGTGTGTGTGTGTGTGTAAATCTTACGGCCCACTTATCCAAACTTTTACCTTTTTGACCAGGAATATCTTCAGTTACATCACTTGACACAAGGCCTGGTAGTAAGTAAATCATTATGATCTAACCATTTTTGAGCACTTATTGTATGATCCAAACTGTAGTAAGTAATACTAAGGATAGAAAAAGGAAATGTAAGACTTGACAATTCCTCTCAAGAAAGTTTCAGTCATGTCAGGAGAGAAAAACATACCTTTGTGAAGTAAATTTGAACAATGAAACATTTAATTATATGTCTGAATATGTGGTAAAGAAAATATATTCTGCAAGAAAATTAGAGCTTTCACAAATGACTTTCAAAACAAGTTGGAAATCCTATGCAGGGCTTAACAGAAAGTCATTGCTTTAACTATTCCCTTAATGTCTTAATACAAATTGCAACTAATGAGATATTTACTCTTAAAATGTTTTCATGGAAATAGCAATCTATGATAGATGTCAGTGTAAGACATTTTGGACATTGAAATGCAGGATGCCATGATAGGAACCGTTATTTATGATTCATTTGAAGTGTTGAAATTCAAACAATAGGATAAGTTTTATTTGGATTATACCGTTTTACACCTCATAGTATTTGAATATAATAAACAAATTAGTAAAGGCATTTTGGTTATTGGGAGTTTACATGTAAAAGGCCAGGTTTCCAGCTTCTCTTGAAACATCTGAAGATCTCCTTTTGGTCTGCAATCTCACAAGGCAATAGCATCTCAGAGCTGAGTTGCAGGTGGCTTCTCCAGTTTTCCATGACTCCACTGTTCCTTACTGCTCTTTCTTTTTTCCTCCCCCCAGCATGCTTTAGCAGTTCCTGTTCAATACCTAGCCAGCTCCCTCTTGGCATGTGAATTTGTGATTCCCTGATGAGGCTTACCCTCCACCAAATACACTTATGCCTTTTGCAACATTCTTTCTACTTGAATGCATTACATTGAAATTCACTTCTCAAGGCAACCCATTACAGTGTTGGACACACTATTACAAACGTCCTTCCCTGCATTGAGCCTGTATTCTTATAATTTCATTTTCTAATTTTATCCTTTAAAGCAAAAATGTCTTTTCTTCCTCCTTCATGTATATATGCAAAATACATATAGCTATCAAATAATGCCAAGAAACCCCATTTAATAATGTCACTTATTTTTCACCCTGACCCTGAAAATTCCTTGTGCTCTGGTTTTGTTTTTAAAGTTTTTTTTTTTTTTAGTTTTATGGATTTTTAAATTTTGAGTTGATTGTAGACTCAAATGGAATTGTAAGAAACAATACAGAATGACCAAGTGTACCCATTACTCAGTTTCTCCCAACAGTAGTTAATACCTGGTAAAATAATAATACAATTTCAAAACCAGTATGTTAACATTGATATTGTCAAGACACAGAATCTTTCTATAACCACTATAACCACAAGGATCCCTCGTGTTGTCCTTTTATAATTGCACCTACACCCACGTCTACTCCCTCTGTGTCAATATGTGTTTTCTATTTGTATAATTTTTTGATTCAAGAGTGATATATAAGGAATCATATATAATATTTTAGGATTGATTTTTTTTTTTTTTTTTGCTCAGCATGATTCTCTGGAGATTCATCTAAGTTGTGTGTTAATAGTTCATTCTTATAGACATCCAGATGGCCAACAGACACATGAAAAGATGCTCAACATCATTGATTATCAGAGAAATACAAATCAAAACCATGATGAAATACCATCTCATACTGGTCAGAATAGCTAAAATTAACAACTCAGGAAACAACAGATGTTGTCAAGGATATGGAGAAAGGAAAACCCTCTTACACTGTTGGTAGGAATGCAAACTGATGCAGCCACTGTGGAAAACAGTATGGAGGTCCTTCAAAAAGTTAAAAATAGAACTACCCTATGACCCAGCAATTGCACTACTAAGTATTTACCCACAGGATACAAAAGTACTTGAAGGGGCACATGCACCCCGATGTTTATAGCAGCATTATCAATAGCCAAATTATGGAAAGAGCCCAAATCTGTTGACCAATGAATGGTTAAAGACAAAGTGATATATATGAATGTATATATGATATATATATACACATACACCTATATATATATACATATATATACATACACCTATATATATATATATATATATACACATATATATATACCCACATATATATGTAAAATACACACACACACACACACACACACACACACACACGTAAAATATATAAAGGAATATTACTCAGCCATCAAAAAGAATAAAATCTTGCCATTTGCAACATGGATGGAGGTAGAGTGTATTATGCTAAGCAAAATAAGTCAGGCAGAGAAGAACAAATGCCATTTGATTTCACTCATTTGTGGAGTTTAAGAAACAAAACAGATGAAAATGGAGAAAGAGGGAGAAAAGAGGGAAGCAAATCATAAAAGACTATGAAGAACTATAAAGAACAAACTGAGGGTTGATGGAGAGGGGGTGGGAGGTGGATGGGCTAAATGGGTGGTATGTGTTAAGGAGGTCACTTGGGATGAACACTGGCTACTCCTGAATGCTACTCCTGAAACCAGTATTACTGTATATGGTAACTAACTAGAATTTAAATAAAAATTTGGAAAAAAAAATTCCTTCTTGTGTTGCTGAGTGGTATTTTATGGCATGGCTGTACCAGTCTCTTTAAGCATTCATCACTGAAGGACATGTGGGTTGTTTCCATTTCTTGACCATTATAAACAAAGCATTTATAAATATTTGTGTACAGGTTTGTAAATACAACTCTTGATTTCTCTGGGATAAATGTCTAGAATTGCAATTGCTGGGTAGTCTCGTTGTAGAATATTTAGTTTTTTAAAGAAACTACCAAACTCTTTACTAGAGTGGCTCTACCATTTTACATTGCCACCAGCAATGTATCAATGATCCAGGTGGTATTTGATGTTGCCAGTATTGTTTATTTTAGTCATTTGATATGTATGTAGTGGTGCCTCATTGTGGTTTTAAATGAGGCACCTTTGGTGTTAAAGGCATTCCTTTAAAGGCAATTGGTGGTGAACATATTTTTATGTGTTTGTTGACATCTGTGTGTGTATATGTGTGTGTGTACGTGTGTGTGTATCTATATAGTGTGTGTTTGTGTGTGTGTGTGTGTGTGTGTGTGTGTGTGTGTGTGAAACGTCTTTTGCATATTTTCCAATTGGATTGTTTGCTTTCTTAATGTTGAATTTTGAATTTTAAAAAACGTATTCTAGATTCTAGTCCTTTGTGAGATACGAATTTGCAAATATTTTTCTCCTACTCTATAGCTTGCTTTTCATCCTTTTATCAGGGTCTTTTGCAGAGCAGAAGTTTTAAAATTTGATGAAGTTTAATTTATAAATTTTCCTTTGATGGATCATGCTTTTGGTGTCAAGTCTAAGAAACTCTTTGCATCGCCCTAGATCATAAAGATATTCTCCAAGGTTTTTTACAAGTTTTATAGTTTTATATTTTGCATTTAAATTCATGATATTTTTTGAGTTAGTTTCTTGTATAAGGCATGAGACTTAGGCCAAGGTTCATTTCTTGCCTGCCTCCCCTTCTTTCTTTCTTTCCTTCTTTCCTTCCTTCTTTCTTTCTTTCTTCTCCTTTTCTCTCTTTCTCTCTCTCCCTTTCTCTATTCCTTCCTTCCTTCCTCCCTCCTTCTTCCCTTTCTTCTCTTTCTTTCCTTTCTTCTCTCTCCTTTCTTTGTACTGTTTTTCTCTGGCTGTTATATCAGCTTCCTAAAATGAGTTGGGAAGTGCTTATTCCTCTTCTATTTTCTAGAAAAGATATTGTACAAATGGTTTTAATTTTTCTTTAAACATTTGGCAGAAATCTGTGAAACTATGTGGGCCTGAGAATTTCTTTTTTGTGAGTTTTAAAATTACACATTAGATTTCCTTAATATTGCAGGACCATTTCAGTGATCTCTTTTATATATGGATGAGTTGTAAGAGTTTGTGGTTTTCAAGGTATTGGTCCATTTCATCTAAGTTGTCAAATTTGTTTGTTGAGTTGGTTGTAGTAAACCCTTATTATCATTTTGATGTCTGCAGAGCCTGAAGTGACATGCACTGTTTCAATTCTGATATTGGTAATTTGTGTCTTGTCTCTTGTTTTTCCTTTGTCACTCTTGTCTAGGGTTTTGGCTGTTTTTATATTATGCTACTCTGGATCTTATTTAAACCAGTGTTAGCTGACTTTGTCTGATGATGCTCTGGCATAAGAAGGGAGGAGAGGACACTGCTTCATTACTGCCAGGTGGAGGTCGAAGTTCAAGTTCTCCATTTTGTCTGCACCGACACCTGAGGTGAGGGTTCATTATTACTTTTGGGTGGAGATGGGAGTTCTAGTTCTCCAGGTTGTCTTCAGTGTCATGCAGTGAGGCATTGTTTTGATACCACTGGGCAATGGTGAACAGCCTGACTTTCCACTAAGGCCTCCACCTACACCACCCCAGCAGGGGCTTGGAAAAGTATGTTATTATTTCCAGGTGGAGATAGAAATTTTGGCTCCCCATACAATCTCCACCTACACTGCTGGTGGAGATGAAAGTCATAGTGCTTTATTTGGCCTTCTCTGATACGCTTGGTATGGGTTTGGGGATACTTGTTTACAGCCTCATAAAGGTGGAAGTCTAAACTCTCTATTAGCTTTTGCTGTTGTGGATGTGGGAGTGAGACCATAGTTTTTTCTATGTTGTTTGTCCAGAGTAGAGCAATTATTGTGTAAAAGTTTTCTGTGTTGCTAGACTGGCCTTTTCTTGTTTATGTGGCTAGAGACAGGAGGCTTTTGTTGGGGCTTTTTTTCTGTGCCCATTGGCATTTTCAGGTTGCCAATTTCCTTAGCTCCAAGTCAGAGATATATGAGGCAAAAAGAAAATTTATGTCACTCCTTGGCTCCTATCTGATCAGTCTTCTTTTCTCCAATTTTGAGAAATTTTATGCATTTTATATATGATGTCCAGGGAGGTTAGTTGTAGTTAGCATGGAGGAATAGGCAAGAATATGTCTACTTTATATTCTTGGAAGCAGAAGTCTGCTCTACTTTTGATGGTTAAAATGTGATGCATTACCTAATCCTTATCCATGCCTTAGACTCAGAAATCCACAGCAGACAGACCACAGGGATGGTGACATTTACATCCAGTATCATTTTTGGAAAAATGTATAGTCGATGCTGAGACAACCATGGTTTGGCATTCAACTCATAATTACTGAGTGCCAGCTATGTGGCAGTCACTGTTCTAGAAGAAATCAACAGGGACTAGTTATAACAGATGATGTCCTCCTGCTGTTCCCAAATTATTTGGAATTAGTATTATTTTCACTATGAGTGTATAAGGTGGGCCAGCTTCCTATAGTTCCCTCTATACCTAATCTAGAAATTGCAGAGGTACTACCTCTTTTATTCATATAGTTCAGATATCTGCTCTTAAGCTGAACTTGAAATTCAAGCCGTCTGAGACCTCCAGAGAGCAGGATCATCAGATCTATAATCTTACCACAGTATTCAGAAGGGAAAAAAGAAGGATCTTTTGGAAGTCTAGCAAAATGTTCCTAAATGATTTCTTATAAATATGTCCTGTCTGTTTCTTTCCACTTTCCATCACCACCATTACTCTTTGTATTCCCAATTCTCTTCTCATTTCTCCTTTTCAGGGCCAAGCCAGCAAGCACTACCTCCATGCTTATCCCCAGGATGTGACCAAGGAAAGTGGTATCTCCTGGCAGTGGATTAACTGGGAAAGGCACATTGGGAGGTGCACAGCAGACATACCTGGGGGCCTAGGAACTATATGCCCACCAACCCAATATTCTGATATAACACACCCTCAAGAAATAAAAATCTTGCCCTGGTTGGATATCACTGTGATGGGAAACAGGGAAGAATGGGTAGTATCAGATGATGGGCGAAAGGAGCTGCATTTTTTTTTTTTTTAACTAGTGGAAGGATGATAATATAACAGGGCCCTTGAAGGAGATCATGTAGTAATAAAACACAGTCCATGTGATTTGGAGTCAGTCATATTTCTACCCCATAGAAGTACATTGTCCAGAATAGTAAACACAAATGGTTATTTATATTTAAACTAATTAAATTTAAATTAAAAATTAAAACTTATTTCTTTAGTTGCACTTTTCATACTTCAGATGCTCTCAAGTCACCCGTGGATAGGCCACTGTACTGGATGCTGAGAGTTGGAACACTCCACTCCTGTAGAAAGTTCTGTTGAAGATTACTGCTATAGAGTATTGTTACTTCTTGCTCTCTTGTTACCTTTAGGCCTTTAACTTTTTGGATATACTATTTATTTTACTGCTTCCCTGTTTTATCCTGAAGATCTGCCCTATTCCCCCTTCCTGCCTGCCTCTGATTTTGCCACCAACCTTAGTTTTGAAGAAACTAAGGGTTGTTGTCAACACTTGCCAAAGATCTGACCTCTGACTTCTCCATTGGGTTTTGACCTTTGGCTTTATTACTTAGTACATAATGGCCTCAACCTGCTCACACCTGAGTTAGGATACTTGGCTCCTGATTTGGCCTTAGCAACTGATTTGTCTTCTCCTCCCAACTCTCTGAGTCAGTTTACTTTAAAATTTTAGTTCATGGCTTTCTTGTACTGGATTCATATAATCTGTCCTTAATTTACCAGTCTTTGTAGTTTTGCTTATACCTCTCAATATGTGAGATTGTAGACAGCAGTGTTTTATTATTGTACTATAACTGAGCTTCATTTTTAGCCATTATTGTGGGAAAAGTTTTCAAAATGTGTTTAATACTAAGTCAACACTATATATATCTATATATCTATATATCTATATATATATATACACATACATATACCTACATACATATATATATATGTATGTAGGTATATATCTATATCTATATCTATATCTATATCTATATCTGTATATGTTTAATATTACAAGGAGGAATTTGGAAGTGTGAGGCTTTCACTGATAACTACTTGGAAGAAAGCTGAACATAAATTCCAGATAGATGAAAAATTTGTAAATCTTTATATACTATACCTAGAGCAATGCCGCACACAATTTGAAAGCCACCAACTTCTCTGCATTATTGGCTAAATATTAATTGGTGGTGTTTCTATCCCCAGAAACATTTCTTAACTAAAATAGTGTAATTCAGCTTCACAAAATTTGAAAATAAAAGAAGTCCAAATTTCTAGTTAATCCCATTTAAAGAAAGATCCATTGAAGATGACTCCAGTGATTAATTATGTACAAAAATGTTAGGGTTTTTTCCTTGACATTAATTTGTCATTTCAAGATGCACAGAGAAAAATTGCTAAGGGAGGAATCCTGCAATAAAGAGAATATAGAAGCAAAGGAGAACCAATTAAAGTGGGTAAATTATTAGGAAATGTAATCAATCTTCAATTATCTAAGGACTTACCAGTTCGAGTATGTATTTCTTCATTTGTTAGGGAATCATAGAAAAGGAGAGTAAAGTGGAAGTTTAATCACTGATTAAAGCCAGTCTAAAACCTAATTGCATCACTAAGTATGGTGCTTTTCACAAAGCGGGCACTTAATAAAACTTATGGAATTGTAGATAAAAGAAAGATAGACCACTGCAAATTAAAATCAGCCAGTGAATTTAAAATGCCTCTTTTGTGGAAAGCACGTTACTAAGAATTCTATAGAAAACAGAAAATAATTTATAGATTCTAAAAAAAAGATTAAAAAGTGTTTCTGTAATGAATGAAAAACAGCAGTGTCTGACATTTTCTTATTGCTTTGTGAGATACTTTGTATAATATTATATGCACATGTTTTGATAGTTGGATATTAGATATATACCTAGAAGGCATACTTAGAAGACATTACAAAAATCTGATTTTTAATTAATAACTTATGAGTCCACCTAACAAAACTCAATTTAAAATAAATTGCATTAACCTCTGAGATTTTTCTTTTCTTCTTGAACCATAATAGAAATTCTATTGAAGGGTACCATTTAAGCACTTTTAAAAATAGTGGCCTGAATTCTGTGTTCATCATTTCTACATGTTATCCAGAGACCTATTTGAAAATGTGCATGTTGAAGCTGTTGACTTATGTTATTCAAACAGCTTTCGTTGAGTTCAAAAACCAAAATCAAAGTATTGTTAAGCATTTGTTTCCAATTTAGGTAATCTAAAAATAAAGTTGTTTTACTTGTGTTAAAAATGGGAGGAAATCTTGACCAAATAAATTGTTTTGAGAATCCCTTTTTTTTTTTTTTTTTTGTATTTGGGCAGGGCCAATGCCACCATATGGGTTTCTTTTTCTCTTTTTCTCATTTGAAATTCAAATATATAAGCTAATGCTTACATTTTACTGTTTCTTTCTGTTGTTTTTCTTGTAGGTGGAGGTAGGTATGCAACTTGTTGGGTTTTTTTCTGTCAAAGTTTTTTTTTTTAATTAAAAAAATTTTAAATTTTAAGTAGACTCTATGTCCAATGTGGGGCTTGAACTCATGACCTTGGGATCAAGAGTGGCACATTCTACTGATTGAGCCAGCTAGGTGCCCCAGTATCAAAGTTTTTCTTTATTACAACTGTCTTTCAGTTCAGTCTGTGTTTTGGGATGAAGACCCAACCCAGGGACTATTAACCCACAGCTGAGGCATCTGGGAATTGTGCTCATCTGATAGTAGGAGGTACTTTAACAGTGGAGTTGAGAGCTGGGGATGATGTTGCCATGCTGTATGTGTAGAAGTCTAGGAAACTGGTGAGGGGGAGAACAGAGACATGGGTGATCTTTGAAAGACACGGGAGGCGTGTCTTAGTTCCTGCCTTCCAATTCCATTTCTGAGATCCTTATGGTCTAGTAAGTGCTTCATTTCCCTTTCTTTGAATGCCCATGGAATTTGCATGTTTACTTTTATATTAAGCCTTGTTTTCATTAAACTAGTTTTAAAAGATTTCTGTTCCTTGCAACTAAATATATCATTACTAAAACATAGGTTTTTTACATTCTTCCCTGAATATTTTTCTTGATGTATCTATTTTATTTAACCTATGGCTCTTAATTAATCCCATTGAATGTCATTGTTTTAAATTTATACCACATTAAGATTATTATAACTACAACTCTGTTTTCTTTGCTATCTAATATTTATCTTTTTGGAGTTTTTTTTTTTTTTGCCATATTTTGTAATGACTTCTAAATTCTGTAATGTTCCTTTAAATAAATGTTCTTTGTAAATACGATAAAACAAGAAGAAGCTTGGAGGCATTTTCTCATTCTGAAGCTTGTTAGTGTCACGTGTTATAATTTTGTTATCTCTAATCAGTAGGCTTTTTAGTGTTGCTGACACTTTGTGATATGAACCAAAATCAATGTCTATATGCCACCAATACAATAATTGGTAATAACTATTTAATATCATATAGTTAGATAATTAATGGGCTTTCCCCTCCTCTTTATCAGATTTAATGAAGTAGAGACAGCTATTTTCTTTTTTTTAATGTTTTATTACTTATATTTGAGAGAGAGAGGCAGAACATGAGTGGGAGGGGCAGAGAGAGAGGGAGACACAGAATCTGAAGCAGCTCCAGGCTCTGAGCTGTCAGTACAGAGCCCGACATGGGACTCAAACTCACGAACCGCGAGATCATGACCTGAGCTGAAGTCGGACACTTAACCGACTGAGCCACCCAGGCACCCCGAGACAGCTATTTTCTACATACCCATTTTACCTCCCAGATTAAAAGTGTATAGGGTTAAGTATGTGATATTTTACTTTACACAACATAAAATACTGTCATATTTCCAAAGACTAAACCTAAGTTGGGTATTCAGAAAATAAGATATAAAAACCAAGGTCAAAGTAACATAGATCATTGATGTTAATGTATAAGCACAATTATTTTTATTCTTTTTTTTTAAATTTTTTTTTCAACGTTTATTTATTTTTGGGACAGAGAGAGCCAGAGCATGAACGGGGGAGGGGCAGAGAGAGAGGGAGACACAGAATCGGAAACAGGCTCCAGGCTCTGAGCCATCAGCCCAGAGCCCGACGCGGGGCTCGAACTCCCGGACCGTGAGATCGTGACCTGGCTGAAGTCGGACGCTCAACCGACTGCGCCACCCAGGCGCCCCTATTTTTATTCTTTAAACACAATAAGAAATGGATTATTTTGAAAGGTCAGCATTTTATATAAATGGGACATGAACAATAACTCAACTCTTTTCCCTAAGGATTACATTCAAGCTATGTGAGTTTATCCCTTACTTAGAACGAGGTCAGCAGTTCCACACCAGAAATGGTGGTACTCTGGAGAGTGGCAAACCTTTTCAATTTGGGTTGAATTTAAATTAAACTAGAATTTGCAGACACTGTCTTCTTGAAAGATTGTAAATCCAAGAAAATAACCAAAGTAATTGTTTTTTTTTAAATGTAGAGTTTCATAAAAGATTTACATTTTTAATAAAATCTATAGGAAAAATTTTTTGCTGGGGGATGCATAATGTTTATAGTTGGATTAACAGTTTTGGAAGTCTGTGGATAGAAGAGGGTAGCATCAATCGGACAACAGCCTGAAATTGCATGTCAAAGAGCTGTAGGTTTAAGTACTGAGTTTCTTTTCTTACTGTGTGATCTTGAATGAATCACTTAGTATCTCAAGTACAATTTCTTATCTGTGAAATGGAGGCAATAATAGTGTTCCCCTTCTAGGGTTCCAAGGATTAACTGAGATAAGTATAGCACTTAAGAAAGTGTCTAACACAGAGTAAGCTCTTGGTAGTATCAGATTATTATTATTGTTATTTATTATTATTAGTATCAGATTATTTATTATTATTATTATTATTATTATTATTATTATTACTAGGAAGTAGTGTGATTGATCTTATGGAGATTTTAAGGACCAAAAGCTAAATTGATGTACTGTATCACATCATATTTCTTGCAACAACTATGCTTCAATTTTTTTGTAACACAGCTTCAGATATAAGCCAAGTTTCATTATTTTCTTCAAAGTTTGTCAATAGACTATTCATCTGTGATATTTGAGAGTGACTACTAAAAACTAGATTATATTTTAATGTTTTTCCTAATTATACCTTTTTGTTTTGTTTTGGAAATCACCAGTTTGATGGTGACAA